ATACTTACTAATACTTTCTATATATATATATATATATATATATACATACACACACACACACACACGTATATATTTACTATATTACCAAATTCCACTTGTAGACAATTTATACATTATAGATAAACCAGACTACTAGGAAATTGCATACATGCCTTTATAATGTGAAACTAGATTATTATGTAAATGTAAAATCTGAATATTCTTCAGTTGATATTTCTCATACTGCAGCTGGTTAGTAGAAAGGAACTCATCTGTTCAACAAGGCTTATTAAAAAACTCAGTGAAGGACAATATGTTCTGCATAAAATATAAAAATCAGACTATACTTATTGTGCACCATAATTCTGCTGTATAAAATCAAAATGATATGTTGATAGTGTCTAACGGACTATATGACTTGCGGTATATTATTGTACTGTATTGTTTTTCTCATTGCTGATACAGTATGTAGGCAGCATTGCTAGGAGACAGTTTCTCACACACACAAATAAGTAAAGAAAGTATTTGTTATATGCAGATGGGCAGTCCAAGTATGCAATTTCAAGGCAACTTAAAGCATTGGATTTCCACTTCTTGGATTTAGTCAGTTAATAATTTGGGGGTAATTTTGGGGTTGTGGAGTTTATTTCAGTGTTTTAAACTAACTTCCCCCCTTACTTAAATAGCCCCATTTGCACAGTAATTTGATAATTGACCCTTTCCCACTTCATTGAAAAAATTGACATTCCATTGAAATGGAACCTAAAGTTGTTTCACACTCGTCATTTCTGGCCTGATCCAAACCCACTGAAGGGAAGTTTTTGACTGACTTTGGATCAGATTCCTCATGAACAGCTGCTCAGCTGTTAACATGGTATGTAAATGAAGAGCGGAAAGCAGTATAAACAGTTTACTGAAGTGCCAAAAAAAAAAAAAGAGAGAAACTAGTGGTCTTCAGGTAATTCAAAAAATACATACACAGACCAAGTATCTTGTATAAATATGGAACATTTAGAGGTTGTATACTAGGGCTCTTTTCCAGGCAACTTTTTTTCTCACTTACTATGATTTGTTCTCCACTTAAACACTCCCCGTTTCTCCAAATTATTTAACATGTTTAAGAAGCATAAGTGTCCGCAGCAGTAGCCCTAATTCTGAACCCTTGGGAATTTTCTGTGATCCTTATTTGCATGTATTTTAACCCTAGGTTCTCCTGTAGAGTTCACCTTGACCAGCCAAAACATGTTAAAACATACCTTGCCCTCTCTATACTAGGATTTTAGAACACATTAGTTCAAACTCGTTAGCCAACATATTTTAAAATACACCTTTTACCCTAGTACAGACATATCCTTTGTAATCCATGCCTGCTTGGTGTGGCACTCTGTCCCCAGGTTACACCTTTGAAAGCAAATCTACAGGTTCAATAACAGAGGCCTTGATTCCTGATTTCTTGTGAACTCAAAGCTCCCACTGACTTCAGTGAGAGCTCTGGTCACGTAGGGAAATGCAAAATAAGGCTCAAAGTGCACATGCTCAGTTTGTAGAAAAGAAAAGCACTCTATGTTTTTCTTATGTATAAAGCATGTGGAGGTTAAATTAACAGAAAAACTGGAGACCTGGAGTCTGCATGCTGCAATTTGCAAGGAACAGAGTTGGCAGGGAATAGGTTGGAAAGAGGAGTGGAGGTTTGAGGATCCACAATCCAACCCTGGGGGAGGGATAGTGGTTTGAGCATTGGCCTGCTAAACCCAGGGTTGTGAGTTCAATCCTTGAGGGGGCCACTTAGAGATCTGGGGCAAAATCAATACTTGGTCCTGCTAATGAAGGCAGGGGGCTGGACTCGATGACCTTTCTGGGTCTCTTCCAGCTCTATGAGATAGGTATATCTCCATATAAAAAGCAGCTGTGTGGAAAGGCTTCCCTGCAAGCTGCCCTATGGTTACCGCCACCCCACATGTCCACTGCCAGCCATAGCAGCACAGGAGGACCAGTAGTTGCTCTGCCATTGGTTTATTGCCCCAGATGGGCTCTTCTGCCATGAGTCAGAGCACTGAATGAGATCAGTCACAATTTTGCAGAGGATCATGCCATGTAGTATTGCTCCTATTCCCAACCCCTGGCATAATAATTGGTGGGAACTGAGGGCAGCCTCCCATTTAGCCGCTTTCACACTCTGCAGGGTCATACAGTGGTTTTAGGGGTAGATTTGCTCTCGCTATCACCCCTGCCACTGAGCAGCTAAAAAAGCATACGGGCCAATGTTACGGCCCCTTTCACTGACTACAACAAAGAATAGTTATTAATTAATAACAACCCATGTCAAAAGGGAAGAGAAGCAACTTACCTCTGAAATAACCCTGAACTTCTCCTTGTTCCACAGAAGCACAAATTCTGTATGTTTCCCCGCATAAGATAAGTTTTAAATAACTGTGTAATCACCAAGCCTTTTTCAGCCCTTTAAAATGCCGTCATGTAGAAATGCAAATGCTATCAACTTTTACAGTCCATTTTATTTTTGCATAAAACCTCTTATTCCAGCCATTAGTGGGAATATAACTTGGGAATGCAGAGGACATAAGCAATGTTCTTCTAAATTTGAGCATAAGCTGCACGCACAAAACCACACCTTTTAAGAGCCCCTCTCCTCTCTTTGTAGCAGTTAAAAAAATCCCAAACACACATTAGAAGCAGCTACATAATAAAGATCAGAACTACAAGTAATGTAAATGCCATTTATGCTCCCTCTATTCAGAGGGATCAGTTATAAAGCAGAGCTCTAAAAGTTGTAGTCTTCCATTGCTAGCTTTCATGTCAGTGTGAGCGAACCTCTTGTCCACCAGTGTGCTAGTGGGAATAGACACTTTATGCATTTCAATGTGGCCTAATGTAAAATCAAACATATAGGAACAAAGAATACAGACCATAATTACAGGAGGACAGACTCTATCCTGGGAAGCTGTGATTCTGAAAACGACTTGGGGGATGGTGTGTAGGGAAAAATCAGATGAAAATGAGCTCCCAGTGTGACTCTACGGGCTAATGCAATCCTTGGATGTATAAATAGAAGAATACTGAATAGGAGTAGGGAAGTTATGTTATCTCTGCATTTGGCACTGGCACAACTGCTATTGGAATACTGTGCCCAGTCTGGCATCCACAATAAAAGAAGGAAGGATGTTGAAAAAAATGAAGAAAGTTCAGAGAAGAGCCATGAGAATGATTAAAGAATTTGAAAACACACCTAGTAGTGAGAGAGAGACAAGGTCAATCTGTGTAATTTATTAAAGGGAAAGTTATGAGGTCACTTGATCACAGTCTATTACAAAAATTTGATAATAGAGGGCTCTTCAATCTAGAAGACAAAGGTATAGCAAGATCCAATAGTGTTATGCTCATACAAAGCACATGGGATCTTTATAGAGGAAGGTAAATACACAGCATTTATTGAGAATACCACAGTTAGCATACACTTTTTAGACACACACACATACACACATAGTCCTGCCAGTGATGTTCATAGTTACCAGTCTGTTGTAACTCAAGTCAATCTAATGGCCAGTTAGATTGAGCATGAGTGTGGAGCTGGGTTCTGTCGGTCGCGATCCGATGCTCCGAGGCTTTGCAGGACTGAACCCAGAGTTCCATGGCAAAACACCCCAGCTTTATAGTTGTAAATTTCCATTTGAGTCCATGCATTTTGAGTCCTGTCATCATTAGTCCTTAAGTGGTTTTATCATTTGATGGTTATTGTCGGGCTTCCCATCGTTATCTCTTATTTGTTGTCTCAACTTCAGGGGTGCCTGCCTCACCTCTGAGGTCGTCAATGCTGCTAACATGTTTAACATCGGATACAATGGATGTTTTCTGATTGTCTCCTGGTCTTTCCAAGTCTCTCACTTCTTCTTGACCATCTGGACATTTG